ATTCGGAAGTCATAAAGAAGAAGCAGGCGAACTTGCTCCTTAGTAAGAGGGTAGGGCTGGTTCATGGCTGGAGAGCACCAGGGCTGTAATAATATACGGTTGTATGCCGAAGGACACGACCTACTTATAAACACATGCAGAACATTCTAGCATGCTCTGGAAAAAAATTGTACTGGATATTCAAGAAATTCCGAGAACTTTCTTTCCAATCAGATATATTGATACAGTATTTTTTCCGTATATTTTATATTAGTGTCATATACAGGGTGGGCAATAAATACCTGACACATTTCAAAGTAATGTTATATGGGCATTATGACTGGAAATAAAACTATTTGTACAGCATAGTAAACTACAATATCAGGAGTTTTACAAATAATATCCATGTCGGGTTTTTGCCTCGTCTAGGCCTTGAAAACAGTGGCACGTAAATGTCCACCACCTTCCTGTATGCACTGACACCTATGGATCACTGTGTTTCACATCACTTTTTGCTAGTCTTGATTGGAATATTGGCTATTGCCAGTTCAATGTTTCTGCAAAATCTGGAAGGGTCCTCGGCCTGTTGTAGTAGACTTTTTATTCCAAGCACCCTATTGGAAAAATTCAGGGGTTGTTAATTCCGGACTTCTTGCTGGCCATGGAACGTCTCCAAAACCGTGAGATGTAATGATTATTTGGAAACAATTGTCTCAGCGGTGTCATTGATGCACAGATAGCGTGGGCAGTTGCCTCATCTTGCTGGAACCAGGTTTGGTCATCAAATCCCATCTCTGTGAGTTTTGGAGTATTGAAGATGCTTGTCACCGCTTGGTGTCTGTTAGACCTCACTGTGAATATCCATTGCATCAGAAAAAATACAGCTCTGTCACTGAAAGTTAAACTAGCAATAGCCAATATTCCAATCGAGACTAGCAAAAAGTGATGTGAAACACAGTGATCCATATGTGTCAGTGCATACAGGAAGGTGGTGGACATTTACATGCTACTGTTTTCAAGGCCTAGACGAGGCAAAAACCAGACATGGATATTATTTGTAAAACTCTGATATTGTAGTTTACTATGCTGTACAAATAGTTTTATTTCCAGTCATAATGCCCATATAACATTACTTTGAAATGTGTCAGGTATTTATTGCCCACCCTCTACATTGCAAACCTAACACTATGTATGAGGGTCCATATATGAACCATAAATAGTTCCATATTTATTAAGATAGGCCAAAACATGATACAGACTGAACTGTTTCCAAACATGGCTAAATTCAGTACTGTACAATCCTATACATACACCTGTATTTGGAAGTTTCGTAAGGATAGGCAGGAATGAGCACAATTTTTAGCTAGCTTTAACTTTAAAAATCAGTTAATAAGTATCATTAAAATATAATTACACAAAAGCTGGCATATGACCAGAATCCCTGCACCTGACACTTTTGTATTTTTTCAGAATGGGCCTTTTTTTTTTACCTGCATGCAGTATTTTTGTCCATAATGGACTGTCTGCCGTTGAAATTTGAAGGCACTAAAAAGGAGTTCTATAATATTGATGAAATTTGGTACACAAACTCCTAGCAGTGTATAATGAGTTTAGAATTTCAAGGGCACATAATGATTCTTCACAGAGAACTCACCAAATGCTCTTATGTAACGAGAGTGGGTAGTCATGTTAATTAAAAATGTGCCAAGAATGACTCTGCATGGTATGGGATCATTGCCAAAAGTCATGACTCACTTTTGCAAATGATAATTGTCTCTTTGTAATGCCATCATGAGCCTTTGTAACCAAACCCAGAATTTTTTAGTTTTGACGTTATTTCATTTTAATTAGCCTGACTTACAGATAGAACCATTTTTAACTGATGTTCCAATTAGTCTCACAATGTGTGAACTTGCACTCTCCAGCCTGATTTAAGATGTATCAGTATATTATTGTGTGTGGTGGATCACAGATAGAGCCCACCCATCATCACTATGTTCATTTGCACCCATTCTGATTCTCCCCTCTTCCATCAGCCTTCAGCTATGTCCTGCTATGCAGGGTCTTGAAAATACAAGCATGCCTAAGAAACAAAATCACAGGGTATTCTTTTGGTAATTTGCTTATGCATAGCGCTACAAAATTTGTCTTCCTCCTTGATGTGTGCAGGTTGGCTTGGTGAGTGACAAATGCGCCAGACTTCAGGAGCCTTTTCTGCAGCTACATCTCAGTCTCGACACCTGTACTCAAAAGACATATGAAATGGACTGGGAGACTGTTTCCATGTTCATCATGACCCTTGAGAGTGCTGCAAAGCTACTGTTATAGGACTAGAAATTCGAAAATGATCGCTGTGTACATGAAACTTATGCTGTGAAAAGATGGATGTTCCAAAAATATTTTATATTTCTTCTTTTCTTGCCTGCAAAATTGAAGAAGCAAGAGTCACGAATGCAATGATAGTGTTTAGATTTTGCATTCATCATACCCAGTGATGAGAATACTGTGTTTCCACAAGAAAACGATGAAAGGAGAGGGAGGAAGGGGGGGGGGATTAAGACACAAATAAAGAGGAAGTTGAAAGTCATGTGAAAAGTTTTCTAAGGATTCAAGCTCTGACCATTTTATCACTTACTACAGGGTGAGCCATTATGGCCCATATAAATAAAAGTGAGCTAGAGCCTGAGCACAACTAAATTGGAGGCGCAGCTGCATTTGTGATGCACAATGTACGGAGCTTGAGCTCCGTGTGCCACAGATCCAAGCTGGGAGATCTAGCTCCCTCGTCTGTAGAAAATGGCATTTTGCATGAATAAAAGGGAGCTTTGTCTCAACCCCTGAGCTAAAACTCGCAATAATCGGAGTCTGCCAAGAGTCAGACTCAGCTACGAAATCTCCTTGTCTCCATGATGACATGCTAACGTCCGGATGTAGATTTCGTTCTGCAAATCCGTAATGGCGTCAATGACCCACGATGTAATGGAAAATTTCGGAGTTTTCGATTCTATTATCCTATTAAACCGCGATGTCTCCATATGCTTTGGAAATTATTCCTGCCTTTTCTAGGAAATGCTAATCGGTGTTAATATTTTTTTTTTACCTACCTCTAGGAATGTTACGGCAAAGGGTCTTACATTCGAAATTCAACTCTTACACGAAGTTTTTTTCTTATCCATTTGGGAAACACCTGTTTCCAATAATTCCCAGAAAATTCCGATCTTACAATCATGGAAAGGATGGGCTTTAAATTACATTTCTGATAAGTTCATCGTAACATAAATACCCTTCTGATAATTTAGAATCTTCCGTATTAACATCTTGTGAAGAAAACCGAGATGTTGATTTTCTGACGCGAATCGTAGACGAGTCTGACGTGTCTCTGAAATCCCTATGTTCTGCTGATAAAACGAGAATCAGAGCTTTGCTTCCCAAAGTGAAAGTCTGTTCATTTTTATTTCCCTGCCAGATACTGGGAAATTAAGAACTTGATAGCTCCTCTCTGTTGGGTAAAGAACTAGCCATTATATTCTGCACGCCTTTCCTCACCCAGAGCACCCAAATTTTCAAGGTGCTGGCGGCAAATACCGTAAGTACTTGATAGCGACTTATTCCTTAAGTAACTGTGCTTTCCCGATTTTCTCTCTTTGTGAAGGGAGAAGGAAAGAGAGGAATAAGAGCGCGGCAAAATGTATTTAAATGACTGTTTTCATGTCCGCCACCATAATGGTTTATTCAAACTCCTACGAGTCCGAACTCCAAAACGTGGAGCTCAAGCTCCGTGCTAGAGCGAAAGTTTATTCATTAGAAAGCTGAGTTGGAACTCAGGTTTTACTCATACGGGCAAATATCTCATACAAAGACTTTTGCTTCGTGAATATCACTTTTGAGACACAGGCGTCAGATTTCGAGAGTAAAAATTATGTCTACATAAACTTCACCTAGGATTTATTAAAATGGAAAACCACCCCCTTTAACCTTCACACAGGTTGGCAATCTTCCTCGCCATCTACGGATTGCAGCACGCACCTCATCCATTGGGAGATTGCTCCAAGCTCTCATAAGGGAGTGCCTTAGGGACTCCACGTTTGGATGATTCTTTATGCAGACCATTGCTCCAACTTGGACCAAACATAATAGTCCAATGGATTGAGTTCATGTGAGGAGGCAGGCCATTCAGTAGTGGATATGCCTGATACACTGTTTTCAGATTGAATTGGTAATCCCCCTAGGAGCGCTTCCACCCAAGCAGCATGTTCACGTAAACAAGATATCACTTTTTTGCAAACAATGTAAATTTCTTGCGATTGCCATGAAAAT